AGTGCACTGCGAGTGTCAGGATTCAGGCTGCACTGTGAAGTGCGCACTAGCTGGCGCTGCTCTCAGATGTCTGAGCAAAATCACAAGTTAAAGCAAAGCATTGAGGAGGGGGAGCCAATATGTGTGTGTGTGTGCGTGTGTGTGTGTTCCTGTGCAGATGTGAAGAGTGTACGTGTGTGTAGATGTCTGTGTGTGTGTATGTGTATGTGTATGTGAAGTTATTTGTTGTTTGTGTGTGTTTTGTTTTGTGCATGTGTGTGTTTGCAATTGATAGCCGAGCGGTTTTGAATGTGTTCCCCATTGAGCCATCAGTGCTCAGAAAATTCGGGGAATCCGTGCGAGCGCAAAGGCGGGCCAAGTGCGACATCGTTTCGGATTTGCTGAGCGCCAGCTGATCACGGAGAGCATTCAGAACCAAGAGCAACTCAGTAGGTCAATGGGCGTGTTTTCTGTGAATGGATCATATGTTGTTGGGACATGTGCCTGCCGCAGATGCTGAAGGTAAAAGCAAGGGAATTTGCAAGGGTTTCAATGTGCAGGATAAATTTGGCTGGACAAGACAGATATAGTTGCAGGTAGGAGACTGTGACAGTTTTTTCTAGCTTGACGCCAGGTCTGCTCGATCACCACCTCAAACCTCAATTTGGGTATCATGTCGCAGGACCGCTCTGGGAACCACCGAATCTCCTGCTTTGGAGCAGACTGTGCGAGGTCTTAAGGGAACTCCATGAGCAGTCAACTTTCGAGAACTCAGGCTGCAAATTTGATGTTGGAAGCACGCTGGTTCAGCAGCCGAAACCAGATTTTCGGAAATCGGCTGAGGCGTATATTCAAGCGCGTTCTATGAAAGGCACAGTAGGCGTAGCTCCTGCTAGGTACCCAACAGCCAACAGGCAGCTTTCTCAGACGCACTTCTTCAGGTTTCATCGTAAACTTATGGCCTGGCACGCTACCGCATGGGCAGTGAGTGTTTTACAAGAAACGAGGCCAAATCTTCCCAAATCGCCCAACAAACATATACAATCAACTGTTACCGCTTGACCTCCCATTCAGTTTGAAGCTCTTGCATACTGGACATTGGGCATCCACTCGGGCCCAAGTTGGACCCATGCAAGCAAGGGAAATCCACAGCCCTCCCCAGAGACTGTTGGTTCTTTAGCTCAAGAGCACCGCGACTTGAACTTCGACGGGTGTGGGGTACCAGTCTGTCAACTTTTGAACTTCCTTCCACTCCATTCCATTCCATTTGATTGCATTTGGTTGCACCCAATTTTGTTTTCATTTAGTTCACTACTCCCAGAACGGCCGTGTGATGCAGTCACCAGCCACGCGTGGCCCAGGACAAGCGGGTCCAACTCGAGGCCGTTATCCTGAAGTCGGTGGGCGAATCCTTACCTCGAGAAGGCTTCTTCGATTAAGCTTTGCAATGTTGACGCAGGTTGAACTCCGTCGGGGCTCACGGAATCGGAGCAGCTCCTTTCATGAAGGCATGTTTGCAGGTGTCCAAGTTGGTCTGCATGAGCCAGCACTGTGTTTTCACTTGATGATACAATACGAGACAGAGTTGGCACGGATAGTGGCGCTGGGCCGTATAGAGGGGAGTGTATTGCATGAAGACAGCAAGGATCGCTTGGAATTGTCAACCATACGAACCCTTCAGCAGCCCACTCACTTGAAGGGCGATAGCTTGTGGCTTGCTCTTTGCTTGAAGGGCGTGCGCCAATTGACCGTGAAGATCCCACAACTTCGGCTGCAAAGAGCTAGGGACGATCCACTTGTTCAGGTGAATCTCTGACAAAAGGGCCATGGCTTTGCACCCAAACAGCTCTCGCGGATCGGACGCTTGAGGATGGGTCGAACTGATGTGCTTGCTCGATGGCAAACCGCGAGCTGCCGATCTCCTGCTGAAGGAGAGCTGGCAAGATGTCACGCTTCCGGGAATGGGGGGGAATGCATGGGCACACCCTTTGCAAGGGATTTGTCGCACCACTTTAAACATCGCTGAACCATGCTTTACATCTCAGGCCCCACCCCATTTGTTAGTTGCTGTACAAGTGCGTTGGAGCTACTTGCAGACATTGACGGGATGTTTGTGGGAAGTCCTCAGCTATCACAAAGCAGCCGCGCATGAGAGTGCCTGTTTGAATGCCCAAGGCAAATTGCAGCAACTTGGAGGGAACATGCGCACTCAGTATGACTATATATGGTTCTACAGCGACGACATGTTTTCATACGTGGGGGCCGGGCTTCAGGCTTTAGGAGCTCAAATCGGATATTTCAAGTGGCAAGGCCCCCTGGAAAGTGGTATGAAGATTGGTTTTTATGGGAGACCTCCCAAGCTTATTCAAGAAATGGCGCTGGCCGGGCCGAAGGCAACCTTTACATCGGATATCTAGATTGGCTGGCATTTCAGGCCGGCGGTTCCCCTTCCGGGTATAGAATTCTAGTTGGCCGATTTTAGTGTTGCATATTTAAAAAAAAATGGCGACACCGTATAGAAGCAAGCAGCCTTGCAGTGGCTAGTCAGGAACGAGAAGTGGCGGAGCAGGCGCCTTTTTCTTGATCACTGCAGAGCAAATATGTTGCTTTGCCTCCTCTTCCGATGATTGGTGAAGCCCAAGTCTTGCGCTGTTCTAGATTCTTAGCTGGGCGACTATGGCCACGGACACAAGCAGGGCCTGTCACTGCCCAGCGTTGTGTTTGTCATCTTTTGTTGTGTTTTCATTATTTTGACGGATGCCAGGCATGAGTGAGCGTCAAGTATTGTTTTTGCCAAACTCCTATTTTTTAAAAGTTTAATGAAGCCACTACCTACGTGGGTCTGAGTTTTGTCACCATACTCCCTGTGTGCCATCCAGAATATCCTAGGACCTAGGAGCCTTGTCGAATGTGTTTTGCGGGGTTGATTTTTGCAGCCGCAAAATGATATGGGAATTGCATGATGAGAAGCAGCCTACAATTTGTCCAGACCATCCCCATCTGGGTGCGCTTAGCCAAGTTGTCTCTTCGAGCGCACTATCAAAGTTAGGAAGCCGCAGCCACTAAGTGATCTAGCTCCAGACAGAAATCCACAGGTGCTGCAGTGCTCCGGAGGTTCTGGGGAGGGAACTCCAAACGATTCAAGATGCACAAGCCTCGGAGGAACTTGGCGACGAGCCCGAAATCAGCGCCTCGGCCGGCCTTGCTGTATTGATGCCTTGGATGATGATATCCTTGAAAGATGGCAGCAACATGACGCTCAAAGCTGGTCTAAACCAGTGGGAGAGGCCACATGCTGCATTTGCAAGTTTCAGCTTGCTCAACACCTTTGGATGATCGACCATATTCCATCTTTGCCTCGTTACCAGTGCGCTTCCCTTGCCTGCTGTGCTTCAGCTACTCCCTCACAGCCGAGCGATCGCCCAGGTGTCACAGACTTCCTGGATCTTCTTTTTGACGAGGCGCCACAGAAGCAAACATGAATTGTGCGTGGAAATTTGTCGTCAGGGGGTGGAGGGCTTAAGGGGATGGAGTGGATGGACGGGTGTGCAGCAGGAAAGGGTGACGGGGCCCTCGGGGGGTTTCTTTGGCTTCCTCGTCATGCCTGCGCTGTGTGGCTTGGGGTATGACGCTTGTTGATGTAGCCGATGTACAATTTCAGCGTGGGCTTGAAGATTGTGCTTTTGACATTGGGCAACACGCAGCTGCAGTTTGAATCCAGAGCTGAGCGGTGGCAGTGGAGAAGAGGGCTGCCTCTTTAAGTGTGTGTGTGTGGTTTCCGCAAGCGCGGCAACCAAGCGCTCGAGTAAGAAGAGTTTGCTCAACTATAAGTTTAGTCATAGTACTTGCATGTATGCATGGACACTTAACGAGCACGTACAATTTGTGCCCTTGCAGATCATGTTGTTTTGAACCACGAAAGCAACATCATGTCGTAGGTGTTGCTTTGTGCTAATTATTTAGACATCAAGCGGATGGAGGGCTAGCAACCATACTTCTTCTAGACAGGCATCACTGAAGGCAGAGTGAGAAAACGGCAAGGTGAACAAGCTGCAATGCGCACAGAGCCTTTGTTTCAACGAGGTGAGTGTAAACGATTCAACATGGCCCCAAACAAACAATTGTAAAATGAACACGCCGGCAAAAACACTTTGCAACCACGATGCGCGCGCGCACAAGGAGACAAGCTTGAAAGAACGTCAAAGAGGGTGCGCCTAATCTGAAACCACTCCCTTAAACGCAAAGCAAGCGGATGGTACCTTGATAGTGGAAGCCCTCGAAAGGAAAACGGTGACACAACCTTACTTAAACGCTCAGCAAACCATGCAAAGAGCAATGTGTTTGTTATGATATTGTGTGTTTCAAGTGAAAGACTGCTGCAATTCACACTACTGTTTAGACAAGACCCATTCTATGATATCGCGTCACGCGCGCCACACAAAGTCAGGTTCCATCATGTCAATATGGCTTGATACTGTCATATCGGTACATGGTACGTCACACTTGTAAGGCAATGTCAGCCTGCAGGAAGAAAGGGTTAGTTTTGCGACGAGTACGATCATTCAATTTAGATGGTGATGTGCCATCCGGAAATGCAGGCGCGCTTTACCCAGCGAGTGCAGTTTGTGTTCGGCACAAAGAGCATCGCAAGCGCAAGATCTGTGGTCGTTGCTAAACCCTTGATTACTTGTCATGTTGTACTTTCTGATCTTCCAAGTGTTAGAGCTCGCCCCTGTGTTTGATGTCCATCTTCCTGCATTGTGCTCAACGGCATGGCGGGTTCGTGGTATTGGCAAACAACTGAGCTGTATTTCCCTGATGTGTCTTGTGGCTGACACATGCAGTAAACGCCACAAAATGGTAGGAACCACCGGGGAATGTCAATGATTACCGCAGCTCCGTGACAAAACGTCCCATGTTTGGCACGCCAAAGATTGAATGGTACGACGCTGCACAACCAAGCTTTGGTTTGCCACAGGCTGACATTCTCACATTGCCTGTAGAATGCCATCCAATTTGGCATGCGCCATGCTGCAGACTGAATGTCTACATCATAAAGTGGCCGCGCTGTGGTGTCCCCTGGAGGCATTGAAGCAAGAGCTGGAGCAGACCAAGCCGCAGCTGAGGGCAGCTCAGGCAAAGGCAGAGGAGAAGGAACAGGAGCCGAGCTACATGCAAGTGCCAAGCAAAAGGCCAAAGTGAGCATGGAATAGATTTGCTGACGGGAACCCTGTTTGCGGGTTGTTTCAAAGGAAAACCCAAAGGACACTTCCCATTGTTATAGGTCTCCCTGATATTTTGATCTCCAAACTTTGTTCCCATCAGTGGAAGCAGTCTTGACTGGAAACACAGGTTCCCTTTTTCCAACCTGCACACTGCAGGGGGCCTTTGTGCACGCTGTGTTTCATCCATCTTCCACAGGAGGTTTAACAGGCCATGGACATTGGAGCCGCAAGGTCTGGGATTTGACAAGCCCGAGAGAGCCCACACATAAGGTGGTTTTGCGGGGTGTCCAGCTTCCAGTGAACTTCTGTTAGACTCGAAACAAGGTGCAATCCGTGGCCATTTGCCACGTGCAGCGTAGCAGCCCATTGAGTCAAGACCAGGCGTTTGGGGAAAGGGGCGTTGGACTGCGCCAGTTTCCCGAGTGGATTGAAACTTGGCCGATAGATTCGAGCGAAGCTCACCCTGAGCTCACTGAGCTCTGGTCTTGCGCTCGCCAGGAGCTGAAGCGCCTGCAGAAGCTGGACACCAAGGAGCAAGCGGAGGCGCCCTTTAACCGCGCCAAGCGCCAGCCGCCCACTTTCGCGGTTTTGGAGCGCCACCGGTACTCAAGTCATTTTGTAGAGGAGTCTCCCTTTTGACTTGAGACTCGTTTGGGAGATCAACGTCCATCATGTGGAGTGCAGCGGTACAAGGTTTGGGTTCGCCACCGATCATGACGAAGGTGTTTTTCTTGGGTCCATTTCGCATGCCACCGTGGGACGCGCTTGTGTTGTTCCCAGACATTTCCCTTTGCGCGTGCAACTTGCACCAGTGTTGATACCTTTGTGTTTGTTTGTTTTGTTTCGTTTTTTGGGGGGGTGGCTTTACAGGGCTTGACGACGGAATAGATCAAACCTCCATCACCTGTTTGGAGGCAAACCTTGTTGAGTTTGCTTGCCACCTTGTGAGCGCTGGGTGCTTGTGTCCAATTCTTCCAATTTCTGCCAAGCTATGGCTGATTACCCCTTGCACTTGCGTAGGCTCACAGGCAATTTGGGGCCAGCGGCTTGTTGGGCAGAGAGGGGAGAAAGAGAAAGACAACGAGAAAGACAAAGAGAAAGACAAAAACGAACAGAAAGACAGAAAACAACAACGAGAAACAGAACAATAGAAAGAAAGAGCTTTAAGAGAAAGAGAGGGAGAGAAACAACTAGGGATACGGATAAACCCGAAATAAAGAGAAAGGGCTCCGGATAAATTTATGTGCTGGAAGCTTCTGCACCGGCCTTACTCGTACGTTAGTATCCGGCGCTCTCTGGAAGGGATTGGGTTTTTGGGTAGGCCGCTTCATACCATGGATGGAGTCGCTGGTGATGACCCAGATGGAGCTCCTGGCGGTGGGATTTCCCAGTAGCTTCCCCAAGCTCAGGTGTCTCTGGGGTGGGACAATCTATCTAGGACCTGGGCTGGGAGTTTCCCAAAATTGCAGTTTGCGGCGCCGCTCGGGTAGCTTCGACTGCCCGGAGGCAGCCGAGGAGGTCGCCTCTCCGAGCAGACTGCCGCCGCCGGATTCGGCCCGCACGCCGGAGCAATGCGCAACTCGGCAAGAAAGGAATGGATTTGTCCAGTTCTTCATAGGTTGCCTTGTTCCCCGTTTTGGGTTGGTTTGGGCTTGGAGTTGCCTTTTTTTTTTGCTGTGATCTTCTAAGTTGTTAGTTGTTATTTGCTACACTATGGTCAACTATGCCAACGTTTCGGATGGTTTCAGGCGTTGTTCAGTGGTTTCGTTGATACCTTTTTGAGATGTTTCTTGAAACCCGATTTATAATTCGGCCTCAACAAGGCTCCCTTTATCTTTCAGCGGTACTGGGCAACTTAGTCACTTGCCCAAAGCGAATCAACTATTAAACCTTGTGATTTTGATCACTTTGAGCTGCCAGTACTACCTGCAACCTGCATGACCATCCAAAATCAAGAGGGGGTCCCCTTTCCCTTCAAAATCAGCAGGCTGGTTGGATGCTTCACTTAATTTGCAAGGTGTTTACCCAAAGTTGCGCACTTTTCAGGTGGGCGAGTTGTCAAGCAAACGAAAGGGCTCATTTGTTTTTCCATCCCCCCCACCAGACCTCGCGTCGGTGGCAGCGGACGCCTACACAAAAACAGACGTGGGTGACGGGTGGGGTGGAACGGGGTATAGAGGGGTTGGACGGTGGAGCGGGCTGCGAGAAACTGGGAAGGTCAGATGCGGCTGGCTTCTTAGATGTTCTCACCATGCCTATGCATTGAATATGGCTTGAGGTATGATGCATTGGTGAAGATCTCAATCTACTCTTTGGATAGCGCCGCTGAACTTGGGCCTCGAAGATGGCATGGGGCAAAGCAGTCGCTGGCTTGATACAGAATAATTGTCCCCTTCGCGTTCCCATTTTGCATGAGCACCTGGGGTCACAGAGGGTTCGACATGGTTGAACATGAAGGTCTCCAAGAATCGAATGCTTGAGTTCCGGAATGTTCTGACTTTTGCCGCGCTGATTGAACAGAGCCTCCTCCTGCTGGAGATGATTTTGACAGTTCAATGTTGTGGCGGGCTCTTTGATTTCACCTGTTCTAGTTGTAGACGTTTGTTCTGCGCAGAAACGAGGGGGCCTTGAGAGTTCCAGATCCGAGCCTGCCTGCTTTCTGTCCGGGTTCCTTTGCGATTCACAGCAGGGATGCCATTCCGTGGATTTGGACGACCATTTCTGTCCGAGCCTTTGCGGTCGGTGAGCACTGAACAAGGACCATAGCCAGGCCAACACCTGGAGTTTTCAGCGCACAGCAATTCACCTTGAGCCAAAGTCCCGACAGGTCCTAGGCTTGATCAAGGATCACTTGGGAATGGCTCCGGATGTGAGGCGGAGAAGCAGCAGTGGCTGGCCTGCGCGGCCAAGAACGGCCTGCTGAGGCACGCGCCGGAGGAGCTGCGCGACCCCGAGGTGATGGGCTAGACCTTGCGGCCCCAAACAGACATCCAATATAATTTCCACATACATAATATATATATATATATATGTATAAATATACATATACATATACACATTGTCATTCAGACATCCAATATGCACCGCGTGCTTGAAGGTGTGCCAGCCTGTTCAGCCTTGAATCTACCAGGTTTGGCTAGACTTTGCGAATGCCCTCGTTTCGGGGGTAGAAACGATGAGTGTTTGAATCGTGAGATCGAGGGCCCCGCTGCCATTGAGGCAAACGTGGCCACATTTGGCCACCCATGGCATTCAATCTAATTTCCAAACAGATCTCCTTCCGACGTCCAATATGGTGAAAGTGGGCACACGTGCCCAGGCCTAGGCAGTGTAGTTGGGACCTTCCTGCGCAGCTCAGACACAAAACACTTATCGGGGGGCTCTTCTTTGCTTGTTTTTGAGCCTCTTTCTGACGTGATGTGATTCCTTGAGGCCGGCGCTTGTGAGTTTGCTAGCTGTGGTCGGTTGGGCAACGCGCAGGTAAACCGGTTGCGTTGACAAAGTCCAATCCGCTGCATTCGGTTGGTATAGCCGAGTATAGCCTTCTATCTTGAAGTTTGTTCGACAAACTTGTATCACGCTGTGACATTCGGCATCGAATCACGCCTGGGCAGGGATCGCTGAAGCAGCAGCGCTCGCACAGCAGCGCGCAGTCTCATTTTCAGAACTCAGGACCAAGGTCCAAAGCAAAGTGATGCTGAGTTTTTGATGTTTAGTGATGCTGAGCGTTTGCAGGGCCATTCAATCCAAGCAGAACACGTGCATTGAAGATGTCCAAGGTGATGCCTTCTATTGGTGTGGCCTTCTATATGCCCAAATTGAGATTTGTTTGATGACCTCAAACCATCAAGCAGTGACATTTTGTGGCAGAGATGGCTTGCCCAGCGCTCTCCCAGGGCTGGGAGTCTCATTTCCAGAACTGAAAACCAAGGTCGAAAACAAGGTCAGGGCTCAAAACAATCAGCAGACTTAGAACGTGTTTTGCCTTGTCCTTCCAAGGTCAGCCGGGGCCGAAAATTTCATTTTTTGAACTTCCATGCGTAACCAACTTAAAAGCGCTTCCCGGGCACACACAGTGGTCATTTCCCAATTTCCAATCAGTGCACTGAAGTTTTTTTCCATGCGCTTTCAGTTCCTTTCCATGCCCTCTTTGCTCGAAAACAATCAGAATAATGGCCTTTTCAAAGACTCTCAAGCAATCAGCAACTCATGGCCCTTTCGAAGACTCCAAAGCAATCAGCAGACTTATGGCCTTGTCAAAGACTCCAAAACAACCAGCAGACTTATGGCCCTTCCAAAAGACTTGACAACAATCAGCAGAATTATGGCCTTTTCAAGGTTTCAAACAAATTAGCAGAATTATGGCCTGTGTTCGATAACCTTCTCAAACCATCAAGCAGTGACATTCGCTGGCAAAGCTCGTTTGCCCAGCGCTCGCCCAGGGGTGGGTGTCTCATTTCCCGAACTCAAAACCAAGGTCCAAAACAAGGGCTGAAAACAATCAACAGGCTAATGGCGTTTTTGTTTTGCGGTTTCTTTCCAAGGTCAGCGGGGATCAAAAGTTTCATGTTTGGCACTTGCATGCATAACCAAATCAATAGGGCCGGATTTCCTTCCCACGTCCTTTCCATTATTTCCATTTGCTTACATTCCTTTCTATTCCGTTTCATTGCTTGTCCAAGGCCAGCCCGGCCAGACAAAGTGCTCATTTGCCGATGTCCAGTCAGTGTGAAGAATTTCGACACGGTCTCCTTTCGAAGTGCTGAAGTGTGTTTCCACGGGAGCCGCGCAGTGAGGAGCTCCGAGGCGACCGGGAGTTTATGCTGGCGGCGGTTGCGCAGGACGGCCGCGCGCTGCAGTACGCCTCGGAGGCGCTGTCGCGGGGGCCGTCGCAGTCCGGAGATCAGCGCTGCGCGGGGCCATCCAAATCCAAGGTCCGGGGGGGCAGACCTTGTTCTTAAGATGGGGACTTCTTCATTTAGATTTGAGGGCTGTGTTTTCTTGGGGGTATTCCAGCACACCTAGGTTCCAGAAGCAAACGCATCGTGACTTCAGGCATCCAGCACACCATCCGCCTGACGGCGCGCCAGCCTTTCCACCCTTGAATCTTTCAGATTTGTTTTGCAGGGAAATGACAAATGCTTGAAATGCGAGATGGAGGCATCATAACAGGTTTTTGAGGGCTTGCTTGCTTTGGCTGTGCTTTGCACAGCGCTTTGTTTGAGATGGAGCAGATCTGCCATGCTGCTAGCTAGTCGGTTGTGCTACACGCCGGTCAAGCGGTTGCATTGGCCTTTCCAAAAGACTCCAAAACAATCAGCTGATTTATGTCCTTTGAAAGACGCCAAAACAATCAGCAGACTTATGGCCTTGTCAAAGACTCCAAAACAATCAGCAGACGTGTGTCGCAAAGACTCCACAACAATCAGCAGACTTATGGCCTGTTGAAAGGATTCAATTCAATCAGCAGAATGATGGCCTGTTGAAAGGATTCAATTCAATCAGCAGAATGATGGCCTTTTCAAAGGCTCCAAAACAATCAGCAGAACTATGGCCTGTTCAAAGACTCAGAAGCAATCAGCAGACTTAGTGTCCAGAATGAAAAAGACTGATGTGGTCGATAACCTTCTCAAACCATCAAGCAGTGACATTCGCTGGCAAAGCTCGTTTGCCCAGCGCTCGCCCAGGGGTGGGTGTCTCATTTCCCGAACTCAAAACCAAGGTCCAAAACAAGGGCTGAAAACAATCAACAGGCTAATGGCGTTTTTGTTTTGCGGTTTATTTCCAAGGTCGGCGGGAGCCGAAAATTCAATGTTTGGCACTTCCACGCGTAGGAAAATTAACAGCGCCGGATTTCCTTTCCATGGCCTTTCCTTTCCATTCGTTTACAGTTTCTTTCTATTTCTTCCTTTGCTAGCTTGGCCAAGGCCAGCCCGGGCAGACAAAGTGTTCATTTCCCAATTTCCAATCAGTGTGCATATTTTGAAGCGGTCTCCTTTCCAGTTCCTGAAGTTTGTTTCCAGTGTGCTTTCAGTTTCTTTCCATGCCCTTTTCAGTTCCTTGACATTTCCAGCAGACGGAATTCTGCGTGTTCTGCGCCGTTTTCTTCCGGTTTTGCCCGGAGCTCCACTCGGATCCTCGGCCGGGCCGCCGACCCCGAAGCCGCGCAGCGAGGAGCTCCGAGGCGACCGGGAGTTTATGCTGGCGGCGGTGGCGCAGGACGGCCGCGCCCTGCAGTATGCCTCGGAGGAGGGGGGCCGTCGCAGTCCGGAGATCAGCGCGCTGCGCGGGGCCATGCGATTCCAAGGCCTGGGGCAGACCTCACTCAGGGCCTCTTCAAGAGTTGTTCTTGGGATGGGGGTTTCTTCATTTAGAGGATTTGAGGGCTGTGGTTTGTTGTGGGTGCTTCAGCACATCTGAGCTTTTCGTTATGCGATGTATGGACTTGGGCAAGGACTCGATCAGTTCCAGAATCAATCAAATCGTGACTACAGACATCCAGTATATAATCCGCTTGATGGCGCGCCAGCCTTTCCACCCTTGCAGATTTGTTTTGCAGGGAAATGACAAATGCTTGAAATGCGAGATGGAGGCATCATAACAGGTTTTTGAGGGCTTGCTTGCTTTGGCTGTGCTTTGCACAGCGCTTTGTTTGAGATGGAGCAGATCTGCCACGCTGCTAGCTAGTCGGTTGGGCAACACGCAGGTCAAGTGGTTGCACTGAAGCTCTCCAAGCTGATGCGTGTTCTGTTGGTAGGGCCGTTTAATATGCTCATATTGAGACTTGTTTATTGACATTCGCAGCAGCGCTCGCCAGGGCTGGGAGCCTCATTTCGAGAACTCGGACCAAGTCGAAAACCAAGGTTGGATGGAGCCCAAATTGCAAGAACTCAAAGCAATCAGCGGATTTATGGCCTGGTCCGAGGACTCCAAAACAATCAGCAGACTGATGGCCTTTCCAAAACAATCAGCAGACTTACTGCCTTTTCAACGACTCCAAGACTATCAGCAGAATTCTCGCCGTCTCAAAGACTTCAAAGCAATCAGCAGACTTAGAACGTTGTTGTTTTGCGTTTTCCTTCCAAGGTCACCCAGGGCCGAAAACTTCGTGTTTTGCACTTTCACGCGTGCGCTAATCAATAGGGCCGGATTTCCTTCCCACGTCCTGTCCATTATTTCCATTCGCTTACATTCCTTTCTATTCCGTTTCATTGCTTGTCCAAGGCCAGCCCGGCCAGACAAAGTGCTCTTTTGCCGATGTCCAGTCAGTGTGAAGAATTTCGAAACGGTCTCCTTTCGAAGTGCTGAAGTGTGTTTCCACGGGAGCCGCGCAGCGAGGAGCTCCGAGGCGACCGGGAGTTTATGCTGGCGGCGGTGGCGCAGGACGGCTACGCGCTGCACTTCGCCTCGAAGGAGCTGTCGAGGGGACCGTCGCAGTCCGGGGATCAGCGCGCTGCGCGGGGCCATGCGATTCCAAGGTCTGGGGCAGACCTCACTCAGGGCCTCTTCAAAGTTGTTCTTGGGATCGGAAATTTCTTCATTTAGAGGATTTGAGGGCTGTGTTTTGTTGGGGGTGTTTCAGCACACCTGAGCTTTTCGTTATGCGATGTATGGACTTGGGCAAGGACTCGGTCCATTCCTAGAAGCGAACAAAGCGTGACTTTAGACATCCAGTACACCATCCGCTTGACGGCGCGCCAGCCTTTCCACCCTTGCAGATTTGTTTTGCAGGGAGATGATAAATGCTTGGAATGCGAGATGGAGGCATCATAAAAGGCTTATGGGGGCTGGCTTTCTTTGGCTGTGCTTTGCACAGTGCTTTGTTGGAGATGGAGCAGATCTGCCATGCTGCTAGCTAGTCGGTTGGGCAACACGCAGGTCAAGCGGTTGCACTGAAGCTCTCCAAGCTGATGAGTTCTGTTGGTATGGCCTTTTAACATGCTCATATTGAGACTTGTTTATTGACATTCTCAGCAGCGCTGGGAGCCTCGTATCCAGAAAACCAAGATTTTTACAGGCTTTGAAGTAATTTGTAGACTTATGGCCTTTTCAAGACTCCAAAGCAATCAGCAGACGTTTGTCCTTTTCAAAGACTCTAAAACAGTCAGCAGACTTATGACCTTTGCAAAGGCTCCAAATCAATCAGCAGACTTATGGCCTTTTCAAAGGCTCCAAAACAATGAGCAGAATTACGGCCATTTCAAAGACTCCAAAGCAATCAGCAGACTTAGTGTTCAGAATGAAACAGACTTTGTGTTTGATGACCTTCTCAAACCATCAAGCAGTGACATTCGATGGTACAGATAGCTTGCCCAGCGCTCGCCCAGGGCTGGGAGCCTCCTTTCCAGAACTCATGACCAAGGTCCAAAGCAAGGGCTGAAAACAATCAGCAGACTTCCAAGCAAGGGCTGAAAACAATCAGCATACTTCCTGGAAGACGGAACAGCAGACGTGTGGCTTTTTCAAAGGCTCCAAAACAATCATCAGACTTATCGCCTTTTCAAGGGCTCCAAACCAATCAGCAGAGTTATGGCCTTTTTGGAAGACTCCAAACAGACTTAGGCAGACTTAGGCAGACTTAGGCAGACTTATGGCCCTGTCAAAGCCGCCAAAACAAACATCAAAATTATGTCCTTTTCAAAAACTCCAAGCCAAGCGAATCAGCACGCGCATGGCCTTGTCAAATCAGCAAATGTATGGCCTTCTCATTGATCCAAAACAATCAGCAGACTTATGGCCAAAACAATCACGAGACTTCTGGCTTGTTCAAAGATTCCAAAACAAGCAGCAGACATATGGCCTTTTCAAAGACTCCAACACAATCAGCAGACTTATGGCCTTTATCCACTCCAAAACAATCAGCAGACTGATGGCCTTTTCAACGACTCCAAAACAATCAGCAGACATATACTCTAAACCAATGAGCAGACTTTTGGCCTTTCAGAGACGCCAAAACAATCCGCAGACTTATGGCCTTTTCAACGACTCCAACACAATCAGCAGACTTAGGCAGGCTTATGGCCTTTGCATCGACTCCACAGTTATCCGCATAATTATGGCCTTCTTGAGGACTCAATCACAATCAGCACGCGTATGGCCTTTTCAAAACAATCAGCCGACTATGGCCGTTGCAAAGATTCTACAACGATTAGCAGACGTATTGCCTCTGCAAGGACTCCAAAACAATCAGCGGGCCTTGGCCAAAACTCCAAAACAATCAGCAGCCTCATTGCCGTTGCAATGGCTCCAAAACAATCAGCAGACGTATGGCCTTTGCAAGGCTCCAGGACAAAATCAGCAGACTTGCGACCTTTTCAAGTTGTCAATATCATCAGTAGATTAATGGCTTTTTCAAAGACTCGAAGAGGAGCAGACATGTGGCCTTTCAATGACTCCAAAACAATCAGCAGACTTATGGCTTTCAAAAACTCCAAAACAATCAGCAGACTTCTGGCTTTTTCAAGAACTGCAAAACAATCAGCAGACTTGTGGCTGTATTAAAGACGACAAACCATTATGACTTTTGCCTTTTCCAAGACTCCAAAACAATCGGCAGGCGTATGGCCTTTTCAAAGACCTAAAACCAATCAGCAAATGTATGTCCTTTTCCAAGACTTTAAACCAATCAGCAGACTTATGGCTTTCGAATATTTCAATATAGTCAGTGAAGTTATGGTCTTTTCAAAGACTCCGCCGCACCCCGCTGGGTCCTGGGGCCCCGGGAGCTGCGCGGCGAGGAGCTGTGTGGCGACCGGGAGTTTATGCTGGCGGCGTTGGCGCAGAACGGCGACGCGCTGCAGCACGCCTCCGAGGAGCTGTTGGGGGGCCGTCGCAGTCCGGAGGGCACGGCGCGGGCGGCGCGGGGGGCCGTGCGATTCCAAGGTCCGGGGCAGACCTCACTCAGGGCCTCTTCAAGAGTTGTTCTTGGGATTGGGATTTCTTCATTTGAGATTTGAGGGCTGTGTTTTGTTGGGTATGGACTTGAGCAAGGGCTTGGGCATCCCCGGCAGCGAACAATTGCGAACAGAACCCAGCAGTTGATTGGAATGTTCAGAAAACCATGTGTTTTGATGTGTTTTGAGCGCGTGGATATGTTTTCCACGGACGGTTGATGGGTTGACGGCGATGGCCGTGGCCAGGTCACAGGGTCCCCCAACAAATAGCCAAAACGTTTTTTGTTGCTTTGAATTGCTCGTCGTTTTTCCTATCGGAATTGGAATTGAGTGCGCGGCCCTCCCCAAGAATTGGAACCACCTTTGTGGGACCTCCTCATTTCCATTTTAAACTGGAACTGTGCCAGCGGGAGCCTCTCCGCTTAAGGGCGGAAGTTCTCCAGTTTTAGGGCTAACTTTCGTGGGATTTTGATTGGATGGCTCTGGCCAGCGTTGCGCGGTGCAGAAGTCGCCCCTGGGACAAAAGCTGGTTGGCATTGGAAAGTGGCTTGGACTGCCGTGTGTTTTAGCGATCGCCGGTCGGCTCCGGTGGAGGTGGTACAAAAAACAGGTTCAGGTATTCGAAATTCCGGGCTAGAGCTTGCGGACACCCTTGTTTCGCTTGGAAATGATGAGCGTGGATTTGAAGATCAAGGCCCCGCTGACATTGGGGCAAACGTGGGCCAGCCGTGCAGTGGCCTAGGTGTTTAGTTCGGACCTTCCTCGAGCTTCATTGGGGTGTTTTTTTTTTGTTTCGACGAGCGTTTGCTTGGGGATGGAGCAGATCTGAGCATTTGCCCGATGTGATGTTACTACTTGAGGCTGGTGCTTGTGTTTGACGCTTTGCTAACTGGTCGGTTGGGCAGGCCGGCTGTGTTGAATAATTTTAAGCTGATGTGTTCAGTTGGTTTGGCCTGTTATTTTTGAGACTTGTACCGTGAGCTCGGGGCCTCCAGCCAGCTGCTTGCTGTGGTGCGGGGTCCGGGTGCCAAAGCGCGGAACCACCGAGGAGCTGCGCGAGGAGCGGGCCTGCGTTCTGGAGGCGGTGGAGAAAACCCGCTCCTGGTTCCTAGTGAACTGGGCCAGCCCAGTGCTCGGGGAGGACAAGGAGTTCCTGCAGCAGTGCAAGGACGTGTGCGGCACTGGCCTGGTTTTCAACTACTATGAGAGCTTCACCGCCTTCCAGAGGATGAGAGAGAGCTTCCTTGCCACCGGCGCATCCGTTCCTGGCGGCCAAGCGTACGAGCGTGTAATGGAGAAGCTGCGCAAGCGTGGGGACACAGGCTCCCGAGCCGCAATTGCCCTTCGGGGTGCTGATGGTGTTTTGTCTCGGGGAGAGGATTGAATTGAACGCCTGCGAGACGTGTAGAGAATTGGTTGTTGTCATGCAGCAAAAACTGAAGCAAAGTTTTCTGCCAAGAAAAGCCGACTAGGAAAACGTTGAGTATTGGCATCAAGTGTTCATAGATCGGCATTGGCGCAGTCGTGCCTGCAACTTTTTCGGGAAGCTTATGATCTATGAGAAATCCTGAGTGTTTGTGTGAGTCTGCACGTGGCCTGTGAGAGCAGCCACAGGTCACATGTTGCCTTGAGCATGTTGCGGGCAAGGTTTGCAGAGTAAAGTTTCGACACCCGCAACGCAAGCCATGCCGAGGAGCCGCCACTGTGTGGTTTGACGAAGAGCCAGTTTTCGGCGCCTTCGCTGACAATGGCCGCTGGCTACATCCCAGCGATGAGTGCGGAAGGGACTACAAGCCCGTCCCACCAGAGTCACCTGGACGCCATCCGATGTGGCGATCCAAGGTGGAGTCCTGCGCTGCGGATTCCATCCCGGAAGTTGGATCCAAGCACCCCTGCTGCTTGGTTTGCCCAGAGCGTGCCAGGTTTGTGAGGCTTGTTGTGGGTGTCAGCGTTGGGATGGGCTTCATTGTTTCGAGCCGTTCACATTGTTTACGTGTTGGGCATATGTGCAGTGCCTCGACTACAGGCTGGTGCTGCCACTGGATCCGAAAAGTACGGGAGCGCCATGCAGCAGGCGCCGTGATCTGCTGCACGGTTTCGAACATCTTCGACTCAGACTCTCGGACCGCACTTCGCCAGGGTCTTGTGCGCCTGCCTTGTCAAAAATTGGATTTCAGGCACACGCGCCCTTTGCCCTGGCCTCGCCTAGGACTGGGTGAGAGAATACGGAGCAGGATCGTCTGAGCTCAGCGACCAAAGGGCCGATGAGTTACAGCTGCCGCGGCAACTTTGGCACGACTTGTTGGTTTTCGCGTCTTAGTGTCTTAGTCTTGGCTTGGTGTGTTGGAGTTGGACTGTTGGCCTTGAACGCCTGCCAGGGAGTCCTTCAAGAATGGCCGGCCTGAGGGCTGGGGCTGCGGAAAGATCACAATAGTTGGGGCTGGCACGTTTGAGCGCGAAGCGCCGATCCATCCCCGCACGGGGTTGCCACTGGGCCAGGGGTGTCGCTGGGAGCGGCAGGCCCTTGATGGGATGGATTTCCCCGTGTATGTGTTTTTCACGCCCTGAAGACATCGATTTTGCTTTGGTCAAGCCAGCGCCTCTCAGCAAGTGATGGCGCGGATTGCGGCTGCACGGTTTCACCTCAGTGTCGCTCAAGCCTAAAGAATTTGTGACGTGAATGAATGTTCCTGTGTGGTTTGCGAAAGGCGACGTGATCCGTCGATTGCACGACAGCTTTGGGCTGGGGGAGACTGATTTTGAGGTGTTAGGCTGTGACCGAATTACTCTCCGGCCTGCCCTTGACGGAAAATATTGATCGTGGAGCACTGAACACCCTGGGGCGATAAACACACATGTGCGAGCACAGGACGATGGAGGCATTTTGCTGGAAGCACCCAGCATTGTGTTCAGCGCGATGTGTTGTCTTTGGCGGACTTCATGCATCAAGCGTTCGACTTGAAGAGGTCGTGTCAGAAGTAGAGTTGCCCTGCTGCATTCCATGCTGCTTTGGCAGTCCCAAAAGTCATGGCAGTCCCTTCTGGTCTTTGAAGTAGATGCATCAAGAGGACTGGCCTTTTCGCGTTTGTTTCGGACAAGCAAAGCTCATAACCTCCCAGCCAACTCACCAGGCAGCCCTGCAAGTCGCTCAAGGAGAGAAGGCTCTTGCCCCTGGCTGGAGAGCTTGCACCCACTTAAATTGACAACAAGCATTGAACAAGTGAGCTTTGCCCTGATCACATGACTTCAAATTCCAAATGTTTGCTTCCTTTTCCCAAATTGCCAGGATGGCGCAGCACGTTTCTGGGTCGTCCGTCAGCCCAGGCCTCCGCCCCTCCCGCCCTGAGCCAAAGGGTGCCGGCCCCGGGCGCCGAGTGCTGCAGGTTGGAGGCGTCAACGACGATGTCAACGCAAGTTTGATGGCCACACCGCATGGCCCGTGAAGAATTTTGGGCCGTCTGGGATGGAGACTGTACGGGATGGGGCCCATAAAGCTGGTCAGTGGCCCAAGCACTGCGGGTGAGCTATGATTTGCCTTCACTTACTCGCGAGCGCCTTCACATTATGGGCGAGGTAACGATTCCAGCAATCCATCTTAATATCTGGATAATGTGTATTCAGAGGCCAATAGGTTGACATACAGTTTCCTAGATGGAGTATTTGGGACGCCTATGGTAGCACTTGCGGATTTGTATCATGGGTCATGGCCCGAACACGTCCACATGGGCATGTTTGATGGCCTAAGACAACGGAGGGATGTGGCAACGCAAAATGGACCCCGCTTTTGTCCTGACATGCAAACAGCCAAAGAACATCGAGCAGTGACACACACGAGCCATTTAGCATTGCGACAGATTCTGGCATGTGGAGATAGAAAGTTGTGCAACCCGAAAGCTTGTTGAATGCCTGGAACATACACCTGCCAATGTTTGGGTAAACCCGCAAATGGGTGGAACTACAAAGAATGAGGGTCAAACAGGCTGCAGGTACTCTGCATTATGGGCCGGGAGACCTTGGTCGTATATTATATAAAGCTTTAGCCAACCTTGATGCGACTGAGCCCTCAAAATTCAGCAGCGAGTTTCAATGTATCAAATCCTTGCATTGAGCTGAGTGGCTCATGTGAGGGATTCCAATTGAGCGCTGGGAGTTAAGGATCCCTTGTCTTAGGTAACTAAATGAGGATATGGTTTGTAGTAATTAGGTTGACTTGTGTTGGACTTGGGATGCAACTAGGTCCCAGGAGAATCAATTTTTGGCTGAATTTCGGATCTGGGGCGAACTGGCTGGGACAGCGCGCTCTTTGGTTCTGGGGTGACTGGTTTGTACCAGGTTGTGACTGTCACGCACCTCTAGGCCCATTTTAGCAAGATATCCTCAAACTGGCCCGAGGAAAATGGTGATTCAACAGCTTCCACGTCTCCCAAAAATACTTCTGGGAAGTCCTCAAAATGTTCACTGTTGAGGGACCCGGAACTCGATCCAGGGTGAATATCCCATTGTGGCTAGATATGCTCCAGGTGTTGTCCTGCAAACTGGTGATCTACCGAATCTTGTGGATGCCGCTAGGCATGATGGCAATATTATTGAAGTTGTAAACATTTGTCCCGCGCTGACACGCACATCCAACTGCGCCGCATTTCACGAAGGCCAGGTGACACTCTGCCGAAGTGGCTTTGGCTGCCCAAACTACCGCGTACAATCGTGGGACCATGCCACAGTGGGCGAGACCAACGCACGGTCCAGTGACTACATGCATAATTTGGCAAAACAAAACGGGATCCCTTATTTCCATAATGTGAGTTATGGTAGCTTACTCATGGCAACATTTGCCAGGTTGATCCTGGGACATGTGCAATGGATAGAAGGGACTTGGAAAGGCGTAACTCCCTTAGTGAAGGCGGCGCTTGGATCATGGAAAGGGTGCAGATTGCTTTGTTGGTTGTTTTTTGTGTCCTTTGCACGGTCCTTGCACTAGCCTCGCAGTTCTGAGGCAGAATTGCCTCATCTGACTGTTGGCCGCGCTCGCAGGCGAGCTGCCTATCTAAGTCGTCTTTTACGTCCGGGGATTACTTGGCACCACCCAAGAAGGTCCAAAATGGCGCCAGCGCTTATTTGACAATAGCCCAAAATGGAGCTACAGGGGATTGAGATATTCCTGTAGCTGTAAGAGATTCATAGATGCCTGTAGTTTGTTTGTCAAATAGCCCCAAAATGCGGGCAAACAATCTCAGTCCGCGCAATCCCAGGGAGTAAAAAGCGAACACCCTGAGGACAATCGCCAGCAAAACGGACTCCCGGAACCTGTGGATTTTGCGAGGTCTCCCCAGTTCTGTGGATTCCACCCGTTCTCTCCTGTTGTTTAGTGGGTTCCCACTGAACAACTGGTTGCTAAATAGCAGCCACATAGCAGCCCTGCTTTGGGAGTCCCAAAGTGAACCTTTTTGCAGGCATCTTTTTAGTTTTCCCAGGCCCCCTATTCACTGGGCAACTGGGTCTTCGTGCCCATTGATTCAAAGCTGCCGAAGTCTCTTGGCTGTTGCGGATAGCAGTGGAGCGAGACGTTTGCGGAAGAAACTGAGCGTTTCTGAAAATGAACCCCTTGTGGTTGGTGTCTAAAGGGCAACCAAAAGGAAACTTATTGTTGTCGCAAACTATTTTGAGAAGCCATTTCAGAAGCGCCTGGCTGATCAATCGTAACGGATGGTCATGAACCCTGTTCAGGTGTGACGTTCGCAACGACTGCCAGGATGTCTATTCAAAGGACCAGAGCAGTCTTGATCGGCTCGGTGCATGGGTTTTGTTGAAGGCTACATGGGACAACCTTCCAGCGCGTTGATATGAATATGACTTAGACTTGGACAGTTTCGTATGGGCCCAAATGCTTCCTATGTTTGAAAAGTACCCCAATTATTTTCTTGCACTCGGTCTAAGTCTGCCTTTCAAACATTCAGGGGATACTCCGTCATGCCGTCGTCAGGACAGCAAGCTTCCAGCTTCCTAGTTCACCGGTGACACAGGCCGCAGCTTGACCCTGAACAATCCAAGCGCAATCTTCCAAGCCTAGCTCCCTCCAAGGCGGCAAAGATGCTCAACTCAGCTACGCGTTGGGCAAATCTTAAAAAGAAACGGTTGAACTCTGTCAGACACGTTGATGTCCTTTTGCGTGCTCAAAATATAATCCCCCAAAACTCCCCCAGAAGTATTTTGAGACCCCTGGCTATGTATTTCATAGAGATCCTAAGCAGGTTAACAAGCCTCCGTGTGGGCGCTTTGCCGTCCTCACGACTTACCTCACCCGCTCCCATGGACCTTGCAACAGCACGCTGATCGACACGCAGGCCCGGGGCGGGGGGGGGGTTCGTAGATTCTCCTCGAACCTGGATCCAGACACCAAGAAGGCTACTTCCCTTTTCCAACTTGTTTTGAGGCGGTCCCTTTTAAATTCAACTACCAACAAAAGGGTTCCTTTTTCCCATAGAAATCCTCTGGAGGTCTTGTGGAATTAAACAATTCGCCTTATGGTGTTGATACATCCCATTAAATTCCCACAGGGCTGGGCTGGGGTGTTTCCAGCAAAGCAAAAGCAAAAGCGCAGAGGGTGCATTCACCATGTTCCCTGGGTTGCCTTGAGAAAATCTGCGCCTTCGTCCACAGAAGTCAAATGGCCAGAATGCCTTCCCATGGGTGCCTGGAGTTTTGGTTTCGGGTGAATGTCCGGATTCCATTTTAGTACTGGAAGATTTTGTGTGTGTGTGCGCGTACAAATGACACTGTTTGGTGCATTTGTGAATTGAGAGAGGTTGGAATATCATTGATTTTGATAGGTGACCATATTAAACGGGCAAGAGTAGCAAGCCTAGCTGTAACAGTGTTCAAGGGGAACTCAGGTAAGCAATTGTCGACTTTAGCTTTTTGCATCGACCTCGAGCTTGCAGCATGTAGCCTGATTCCGCTGGGTTGGCTGCCTGGCCTGTGAGCTAACAGGTGTGGTCACCTTTCGTAAGTGATATCCCTGGCTACCCGCAAAAGCCAAGATTACAGGCCCTTTATTTGCGGGGTATAATCAAGGCTGCCAGTCATCCCATGTTACAATTGTTGAGGGTTCCCCGAAATGGGGCCGGCCAATCCCAAAAGGGGCTAGTTCAATCAAATTGATTCAAAGGTATTCCACCATTGCCACCAATCGAAGCCCGAAAATTAGAACCCTCTTACAAAGAGTGACAGAAAGTCCTTCGCAGCCAGCAAGTTGTCGCTTCGTGCATGTTCGAGAACGGCGCAATGCATCAGGGAACCACTCATGAGTGTGTCAAAGGTAAGGACTCCGTCAATGGTCCGGTTTCTTTCTGCTGGTCTGATGATTCACGGGCCGGGCGAAGGGCACCCTGCCCAAGAAGTCGTGTAACCAGCTACTTCTGCCCGCACCATGGCTAGCTCAGCATGCCAGCGTTCTGTTGCAATGCAAAAAAATGTTGATGTTGGGTCAGTGTCGAGATTTGGTCCATCTGGTGTTGCATGTTGTTTCCGTTCTATCCTCACCGCCTCTCGTTCCACTGCCCTTCCGGCGGTGGATATGCATCATACCTCCAAATCGAGCTATCAGTTTGGCGGTTGTCTTCTGTACGCGCTCGTTTGAGGCGGTTCATGTCTGCGATTATTGATTTTGCGACTGCCAT